GTGTGTGTGTGTGTGTGTGTGTGTGTGTGTGTGTGTGTGTGTGTGTGCGTGTGCATGCTCCAAAACACTGTTGCATTACAGAACCCACAAGTGTCTGTTGTGTTAAAATCATGACATCACCGAGCTGGCGGGGTCCTACAGTTAAAGATCTACTCAGCATATCCTGCATTATGCTGCAGTGCTGTCACAAGGCTCATTTCCTGTGCAATGTTAATGGTTTGCTTTAATTAATTGGTTTTCTTGGTGTGCGTGTTTGTGTTGAGTGTGTGCGCTGACGTCAACATTTGGTACAGCTTTCTGTTTAGGCACACTTCATAGGTTTTACTGCTGCCGTTTTTTCCCCATCCAATCCAACTTAAGTCAAATTGCAGTTATGTTCACTCATTAGCATCAGCATTGCACTTTCATATGTATGTCTTGGACATTTAATTGAAGATTTACAACCCAACTGATGACTTTGTAGACTATTAAAGTGGATATGATTAATTATCATTTGTAACTGACTAACTAACCCTTGTAAATTACTTATTTTCTAACAATCCACCAAATCTGCAGTTATAAATGTTAGTAAGTATAAACGGTCATGGGTTTGTTACCTTTAAACGAGACATTTTTAAAGATTTTTCACAATTAGGAATCTTACGTTGTTCATATTACTGCCCTGTAGGCATCAACACATTGTTGATTAACATGAATAAAACCATTGATTCCAAATTGTTAACCCTTTACGAAGTATGCCGTACTAGAAAGTAGAAGATTGTCTTGTGCTTGAAGTATATGCATGGCATGCATAAGAAAAATAACAGATGTAGAGCTGAGAAAAAAAAAGAAGAAAGAATGCATGAACAGAAAATTAATCAGCAACTAGTTTGATAATTGATTAGTCATTTGGTCATCAGTAATCATCAGAAATTGTCCGAGCAAATGTGCAAACAAAGTCAGGTTTTCCGATTTGCTAAAACTGTGAATTTCTGCCAAACTGGTTGACATGATCGGGGGTTTGCTGGACTTGTGAGCTTCAGTTGACATGCTGTTATCTGTCAAAACCCCACTTAGTGTTTGTTGCAGTCGCTCAAAACATGCTGAGCTTGACAAACAGTACAGCTTCTGCTCCCTCAGATCTGAATAATTTGCCGCAGATTTACATGAGATCAAAAGAAAACATTGAGCAATGTATCTTCGGGGCAAGATGGGAAGGAAATGACTAACATTACTTCCAGCTTGTGGAGGAGAGAAGGATTGATGCATTGATTAAATAATTACAGTATTGCTTTGGGAATATGGCACAACATTTCCTAAACATATTATAGATCAGATGATAAAGTAAGTGTTTATTGCACAGGTTGTTCAAGTTACCACATTTTCAGCGTCAGGGAGTGAATATATTTCAGGATAACAATTGGAAACACTCAACCTTCATGTGTACTTGATAAATACTCCTTGGTTTTAGGTTACTGGGAAAATTTAGATACTTTTCTAGTCTGGTTGTGTCATCGACATGGGTTCATTCTTGCAGTAGGGCTTTCCGAAGTATGTGTTGGTCTCAGATGGCGTACAGTATGGTGTAGATCCCTGATGACTCGGCCTGTTGATACGAACAGATTGTGTTGTGTTAACACCCACGCACAAACAGACATGCACTCCCACAGGCACATTCTGCTCCGATAAGTCTCCCATGGGATTTAAAAAAAAGAAAGAAGTGAAATATGAATCAGGTATTAAAATCCTGAGGCTCTATCAATCTATGCAGCTATCTATGATACATCTTTAGCTTTTCTTGCCTTTCTTGTGTATATTTATGTATAAAACGTCGGTGCTCCACCATATCAAGAAAAACAGAATCTTACAAGTTACATCCATCAGCTTTTGATCTATGACGTGTTACTTCATAGATCATATCTATGAAGTAACACGGTATTACTTACCCTGTAAGAGTTTAAATGACGGTGGAAACCCATAAAAAATATGATGTAATTTATAGCGCTTCAGTGAATTTTAAGGTTGGTTACAAACATATTCCTACTGCTGTGAGCACTGTGTTTTTGTGCCTGAGGTGTTAAGCTCTAAATGACAACTCATCAGTATCATGGTCAGAGTGACATGTTAAACAAGAGGTATGACAGCGCACTGTCTGATCCACAGGGTAATGCCAAATCATTTCTCACTCTGCTTTCGATGCGATAACAAATATCAAAGGAAAGAATCCTCTAATTGGATGTAATGTCAATCCAACGTTCATGTTCTGTGTGAAGAAACTTGTGTGGTAGCATTCTTATTTTACTGTAGGTGTGTGTCATCAGATATGTCTGCTAGTCCTACAGTGGCTGGTTTGTTTTTGTGGTGACCTGCTGGAGTGTTTTTCCAAGTCTTTTTTTTCCTTCAGACCCGACATGCCTTGACGTGCTGTCTGGCTACCCTTCGACTTAGGCATTCAATCCCTGTGTGTGTGTATATGTGTGTGTGTGCCACAGCTGTCTGCACTCTGTGCTGCACAGTCACACAGGCTACTGCCCCCGCTGTGTGTGTTTGCTAAATGTTCGATTCACGCTGCAGGATGAGATTTCATAAATCTTCTCCTGAAAATGATGCTTTTCTTTCCCTGTCACTATCCTTCTGTCTTCCATGATCCACTTTTTCGGTTTCCTCTCCACTTTCACCACCTTTTCCCTGTTCTCTCCCCAAAACCCGCCCACACACACACACACACACACACACACACACGCGCACATCGGATTTTACGGTTAGTGACGGTGCTTTTCTGGGAAGCCTTGGTCACTGCAGGAGAGATGTGTGTGCAATGTGCACAGAGAGAGCTTTCCGACATTGCCGACATTAAAACAAATAAAGTCAAAGGCAAAGATTTTGAAGAAACTTGAATAGACGTTACGCTGAGTCTTATTTGAGGGTTCTAACAGCCTTGTGCTTTGTATCATCTACATGCGACTGGTATGTGTGTGTGCATGTATGTCATTCTGTGTGTGTTCCCCTATCTAATTCATCTAATTCACGTGTGGCAGAGAATAGAAGCAATCTGTGCCTCTTTGAAGGTTTATTCGGTGTGTGTGCGTGTGTCTTGAAATGACATGTAATCAGTGATGATGAGAAACTCCTCTGATCAAAGGTTGCAGCTGGCAGGACTTACAGTGTGTGTGTTTTTGTAAAGAACATGTAACATTGAGCTCACTTTAACAGGTAAAGTGAGATCAAACTTACCTTTTTCCCTCTACGCTTATTTCCTGTGTAGGTACGAAGATGGATGCGAAACCCGAAGGTCAGCGTTGAGAAGGCCCAAGGGAACAGTCTCCTTTACTCCTGTCCAAAGTGTCCACTGGCCGATGACCTGTGGTACACACACTTCCCCTCGCCTTACGGCTGCTGTCACTACGGCGGCCTGCAGGGCGGACAGTACTACCACCAGGAGACAAGCTCGCCGTGCCCTGCCAGTGGGCAAACCAGCGGCCATGACAAGAGCAACGGCTGCAAGGTAAAAGGAAAAACAAATATATATATATATATATATATATATATATATATATATATATATATGAGAGAGAGAGAGAGAGCCAATGAATGCATTTGTGTCAGCAGTCAGTCACTGTACCTTGTGAAACACAATCACCTGCAGTATAATTTGTCACCTCCATCACACACACACACACACACACACACACACACACACACACACACACACAGTCAGACATTAAAATAGGTTAAACAAGCCAGATTTAGCCAGATTATCTAAACCATTTTATTCTGCAGAGGTTCACTTCAGCTCTCATTACTGTCGTCAGTGTTGGAACAAGTAAATGGCCAATATACTTCATTTGATACTGTTTTTTACGTGGGAATACACTACATTTAAAGAAACATGATAGGAAATCTAAGGGGTGAATGAAGAGTTAATAAGGACAATGAAATCTAATTTCATAATGTGTGCCATACAAAGAGGAAAGTCCACTCCCATCATCCTGCCATTCTCTCACCACAAACGTCCTCCTCTGACCTGCAGGTGCAAGTCTATCCACTAACACACTCTGTAACAACACTCATTTTACAGAGCTCCCTCTGTTTGCCCATTAGCGCTCATTAAAATAAGTCAAAGAAGCAAATTAGGTATTAACAGGACCCAAGGCATTGTTTTGTTTGTCTTCATTCTCCCTTTAAGCTCTACTGTGAGTGTTGTTATGTAACATAAACAGTAAGAAGACTGGGGCGTTTTTCAAAAAAACAGTGGCTGGTGTTTCTGAACATGAACATTGTATCAAAATTAAATAAAAAATGAACTCCAGTGAATGCTGTCAACAATGGCCTCGCCCAAACACACACCAGCGCATTCACTCTGATGCTGCAGGTGTCCAGGTTGTCCTTGCAACTGCAATCATAATAGCCATCCCCCTCTTATCAATCATCATACCCATCAGATGGTTCCCTGCTTTTGTGTGTGTGTGTGTGTGCGTGCGTGTGCGTGTGTGTGTGTGTGTGTGTGTGTGTGTGTGTGTTTCTCCAGTCCCATGGGCGACAGGAGAGAATGAGTCATCACTGTCCCAGTAAGACAAAGCCACACTGTGCACTGTGTGTGTTTGCATGCGAGTGTGTGCACCGAGAAACAACGTTGACTCATGTAAGGATTTCTAACAGGACCGTGCTGTTGTGCACCAGTCTGCTCTCTTTCCTTCAGCCGCTACGTTTGGTTTTTTTCCATTTTGTTTCATTTTGCTCTGGATTTCTTCCAGGCAGTTCTATCTCACTCTATCTCTCCATCAATTCCACCTCTTGCCCTCACAACCAATAGATCTGTCACTCATGTCTCACTGGAGATAACCGGTGTGAGTGTCTGTGTGTATGTGTGTGTAGAATGAATGGGTGTTGCGGTAAGGCTGGAGCAGGCTGGGGGTGGGGGTTGTCAAAGAGGAGGGGTTTCTGTGGTGAGTCATAGCTAGTTTACATAGTATGTGTGAAGTCAATGCAAGGTCAATGTGGTGTTAAACGGGACTGACCTATAGCAGCTACTCCAGTGTGGTTTTGTGATCCGAGACTCAATCAATGATTACCCCCTTTAAACTGGAAACTTACAACATACAGCAGTTAGATGCACAACCTAAATATGGACTGAAATACACCCTTCCTGTATTTGACTTTGTGTGCCATTGCCAAATACTTCACTACAAAAACTCAGCACACAGACGTCATGTTCTGCGCTCTTTCATACATACTGTACCATATCTCGGCACACTCTGTCCAAACACTTCACAACTCAGGCCCTCAAGTTGGCTTGCCAAACACTCGCAGAGCAGGACACTCGTTCAACAAATGGAACAGTAACGGAAAAATATTCCCGTCGCATGTCAAATGCACCGCTCCGCGCTCTAACGAGGCCACCCACGTCCTGACTCAGATGCAAATGAGCAAAGCTTCAATAGGAAACTTGTCAACGCATCAAAGTGAACTGTATCAGTCGCTGTCTAACAAGTGTCTTAAGAAAGTGGGGTGATGATGCCGAGAGGCTGCCGTCACATTTTAGTGGAGGAGGAGATGAATGAGACGCGTTGACAGACAGTCTCAGCTTAGGCCTGTACTCATAAAGTGTGCAGAGACAGAAGGGAAAGCTACAGGGACATGTGTCATGGTCTCATATGAAGCTCTTCATTCTTTACTTTTTATGCTGTTGTAAATGTAAATGCTTATTATTAGCTTTTCTCATTGTGAGCAGCAGCTTTTGAATTTGTTCATCTGTACGTGGCCAAAGGTTTCACTAACCCCTTAGAGGCAAAACAAACAAATAAATAAATCATGAACTCTGCAGTATTTGAATTAATGTCAGGACATCTACCTTCTCTCTCCGGAACAGCTTCCATGACAGATTGCCCACCTTCACCTCCTACTCATTGAAAATCCATCACAGCAGTTTTCTTTGTCTTTTTTTCTAATTACGAAGCATTAGCACCCTTTAGAATGCAGGTAGCTTAGCTCAGCCTTGACCCAGTGCTTTGCATAGCCTTCACCCCTCTGTGCTGCTTTAGTCTATCACAGCCAAGGCTAAATATAAACCAACTTTATGGCGCTGATCTTATTATATTATGAAATCAGTGTACTCAATTTATGGTGCCTGCATTTTTTTTTCCATGGGGTGATAACAGGAGGGGAGGTTTACTGTAAGTAGGAGGAAAGATTGGCAATTTGGAGGAAATTAGAATTGAAAACAGACAAAGGGTGAACAATAATGGCAGGAGAGGAAAAATGAGCGCAGTTGAGGGATTGGTGGAGCTAAGGGGAGAGACATAAACACTGGACACAGCAGTGATATAGAGAGGGATGAGAGGAGCTGAGAGGACAGTATTAGTAGTAGATGGAGGATGAGGTCAGAGCATGTGCCCCACTGCCTGAGCATGACCAGCAATCAACAGCTTATCAATCCTCCTGATAAGGAAGTCCTGTACTGTCCCATGTATGCAACATCACACACACACACACACACACACACACACACACACACACACACACACAGAGCTAATACAAATGCAGCCTTTCCACTAATCTCTTATATCAAACCTCTACTGTTCTTGATGAAGACTAAATTAAAAATGAAAACAACATGAACTTTTGCTGAGTGCTGGTTGTCCCGTGATGTTATCTCTCTTGTTATCTCACAGGTTCAGTGCTTTTCTAGAATTTTACTGGAACTTCGGAAAACACTTTAGATTGCATGTTGTAATCAAACTGCTACTGGAACTTATCAAGTTATAGAAGATACCAACAGAACATTATGTATTATATAAGCCATTACCCAAGTTGCTTAAGGCATCCTTTTCATTTCCTTATGGACATTTCTGGGTATGGATCATGTGATAGTGTTGTTAATCAGTCAGTGTATTTGCTATTGTTTAAACACCAACTTTATCCACAAAAGCCTGACCCGCTCTGTCCATTTGTGTTCACTGTCCAAAACGTATTCATGCAAGAGAAAAAGAGAGAGAGAGAGGGCAGGAGAGAGGAGGAAGGAAGAAAGGGGAGAAGGAAGGCAGGAAGGGAACAAAAAAGATTGGGGGTGAAGAAATCCAGGGAGATGAGAGAAGCCAAGCGTGTCAAAGAAGAACAGTGATTTTTATCTGCTCCCAATCCAGCCTGTGTTGTGAACTATTGATTAGATCTCAGCCAAAAGTGGTGAAAAATTGAACATGAATTTCTAGAAACCCCATTTGTCTGCGAGGTAAGCTCATTTTGTTAACGTTTTGTTCGACAGCTGGAACTAAAAGCTTGATCAAAGCTATATACCTTGTCCTCACAGTCAAAAAAAACACCCAGCTCAGATGATCAGTGGCATTTAAAGAGTGCGTTTCTCATGTGGAAGTTGGCCGTACCGGTTCATTCTCCACAGTGACAAAACAGAGGGGGACGACGTGTGACGAATCTCCCTCTCCCTCAGCAATGACAAGGCCCTGCAGGCTAAGCTCTGTTCCATGAATGCTAATGCTTTGTGTCTGAAAGAGTGAACGAGAGCGGGAGGAAGGCAATTGTTGGTGGACTGATTTAATTCAGAGATCCTGTCAAGTGAGTCTGTCAGTCGGTAACAAGTGCAAATGCAATTCAGGTGCCATAATCAGATGACCATTCTTGGGATTTTAGTAACAGAAATGCCCACACCTTTATCCCACATACTAACTTCTGTCTAACGTTGTCTTGTCTTGACTTTCATGGTGCCCGAGGTTTTCTAGCATGAGAATACGTTTCTGCTGGACTTTGGCTCTTGAGTCTTATCTGTGAAGTGTCTTATTTGTGCATTCTGAGAGGGAAGTAGATCACTTCTTAATGAAGCTAATGGTTAATGTGTGTCATATTCAAAGGTCGCACCATGACACTGCTGACCCTTTCAAGGCAAGGATGCAAATTCTGGACTCTAGTCATCAGCAACTAATTAAAACGGCGAACTCCGGGTGGAAAATCTTGGTTTTTGGATGATTTGGTGTTTTTTCGCGGGTATTTAAGTAATTATTAGAAAGTATAATGAAACAAACAGGCAGCTATCTAAAAAAGAATTATAGACTCTCGGACACAGTCTGAACAAAACAGTATGATTCATTGCAGGGCTGTTGTATTGGATAACTAAGTGCACCCAGTGAAAACATTTTGTAGTCTGTGTCTTTCCAAACCAACATTCAGTTCTCACCTCACCTGCCAAACAGCTTACCTTATGAAAAACGTCCCTTGAATTCCAGCCGTAGATCTACGCATTAAGCATGAATTACATAACTGAAAAAGCGTTTTTTAGCTTGTATTGGGAATAAGAGGATCAACCCACAAGGTCCAATTATATTTGATACAAAGAGTTACACAGAGAGTACTGGGAGCAACAATCTATTTCCAAGTGGTTAGCTTGTCATGCATATGGTTCCAATACCAGGGGAAAATGCTTCTCATTCCAAACTTCTGCTGTACACTTTTAAACAATTCAGCTAATTGACTCAAAACTTTCTTTTCTCCTCGTTA